TTTTTTTTTTTTTTTTTTTTTTATTAATAAAGAGAGTTAATCAGAGAAGTGATTCCGATGAATAATTTATTCACATTTCTGTTGAAATTTATTATTAATAAACAAATTTGTTGTCGAGGAGCATCCAACAGCAACAACAACAAACAGCAAAAAATCCGAAGATGTCACTGTTGTGCTGCTTTTATTATTGTTTAACTACTGCCAAATTTGACCACATTTTGCACTGCGGGATATATCGAAACTTTGATCTGCTGTCGCTTTGCCAGTATCACTATGTTACAGCAATTTGTCTAATGATGTTTTGCTGTCGGCAATATACACTATACTCTTTGTTTTGGTGTCTCGTTTACACTCTCTTATCTAACGCTATTTATCGTCGCTCTGCTTCTTTAGTCAGCGTTCACCGAGCGTTCGTTCATAATTTATGCATCAATAACAATCTCGTAACGTTTCATCTTCCTCATTTTCCTCGTCGTCGTCGTTGTCGTCGTCATCGTCATCGTCGTCGTTGCCGTTGTCGTTATTGTTGTTGTTGTTTGATACTGTTGTCGTCGCCTCCTTCTCAGTCATTGTCAATAAATTTTATCATCTAAGAAAAACAAGAAAGCATAATAAAAATTTAGAAGAAAAATTGTGAAAAAAAAATATGCTTCTGCCAATATTATTTGGCAATTTCTATTTTTGTGAAGCAACTGAAGAATGAATAGTAAAAGAGATACTAACAGCTGAGGTTGTAAACGTAAAACAAAAAAAAAAAATTGGCAATCAAGAAAGGTTACATACAGCGAAGTAATGCTGAACAATCCAAAAGGTAATTAGTTGTTTTTGCAATTGTTGTTGCTGTTGCTGTTATCAGTTTGGTGACGACAATTTCACTCTTTCTCTTCTTTCCATCTCTGCAAAAAAAGAAAAAAAAAAGAAAGAAAAAACTGACAATGCTAACAGATATACAATTGCCTTTTTTTTTTTCTCAAATCTTTATCCGATGTTTTGTAGGCATTCGGTTTTAAGCAGTAAAATGTCGATAAAACCTGATGTACATTATGTGGACTACGAGAAAAAAAAAAGAGGAAAAAAGAATCAGAAAAAAAAGAGCTTGTAAATTACTGTTATTTTCTGCTTCTCTTTTTTTCTTTCATTTTTATTTTTTTTTGTTTTTTAGCTAACAAATGAAAAGTCTAATTAGTCGGAAAAGAATTGAAGATTGAAACTTTAAGAGAGCGCATTAGAAAAAGATTAGGTTCTGCAGATTTGAAATTCAAATTATTTTTCACAAATGAAGTCTTTTTCAGTATCAAAATCATTTCCCAGTGGAGTCAGTTAAGAAGCAATCAGCATTTCTAAAAATACTGAAAAGCAACGCGCATTAACAGGCAGTACGGATTTTTGCAAAGAAATGAGGAAAACTTAATTTGCCTATGCTTATATACTCCATTTTGTGGTTGTAAATGACAACAGGAAAAAAAAAAAGAATACTTTTCTTCTTCTTTTATTTTTTTCCTCTTGTTTTATAATCTTTTTTTTTTCTTTTCAACAAAAGCGAATTATAAACATACCTAAGAAATTCAATATTGGAATTGATACAGTTATCGTTAACTGCCAATATACTTAAGTAATCAGTTTGTTTAAACGTATAATTTATCTTTTTTA